AGGGAGCCCAATGTGGGGCTCAATCCCAGGACCCTGGGATCATAACCTGAGCCAAAGACAGATGCTTAACCATCTGAGCCACTCAGGCACCCCTCAATTTTTCTTGGGGAAGAAACTGAGTCTCTAAGAGGTTCCCTGGCCGGCCTCGGGTCACACAGATAGAGATAATGATGTCACTGTGGATAATATGATTTCAATTGTTATTATTTGCTGAATATTCATCATGCGCTAAGGACTTTACAAGCAAAGTCAAGATTTGAACCTTGACTCCAAGTTTGGCACATTTCATTCAATTCTTGCTATTACCTCATACATCTTCCCAGAAAATACTTGAGAACACATCCGGTGAAGAAGAGCTGCAAAAAACAGGGCAGCCAAGAGCAGAGAGGAAAAGACGGGGCAGGCACATGGTAGTCATGTCCAAATATTGAAAGGCTATCACTGTGCAGGGCAATTGCACTTACACCACATGCTTTATTTTGCATATCCCCTACTTTATTTGGGGATGCGTTTTGGTGAAGCCCATTCACCTTTTGGTATCTTTCCCCAATGGGTAGAAATCCCACCCACGACAGATTACTACAAAAAGAAGCTCTGAGAGACCGAGCTGTCCAAATAGGGAATAAGATGATTGCAACACACCCACCATTGCTGGGAGTTGCCCAGCAACAGAGGGGTCCAAGCTGGATGACCCCTGGTGGGGAGGTTTTACAGGGCAGGGGCCTGGTATCTGCAAAAGAAAAAAAAAATAGGGCTACGTGACAGTTATGGTTCTTAACAAGTGTGCAAGTTTAATTCTACAGAAGTTGACATTTATTCTATTTACAAATGGATTTTAAAATCAGGGGAGGGATGTAAAGTGGGTCAGTATTATTGTCCAGATGGGGAGGGAATTGCGTCACTGGAAGCTGTGACCAGCCAAGGGTTCCAGGGAGTAAATCAGCTCAACCACTGAGTAGCTGAAACCCTCACTGTGCATCAGAGTCACTGAGGGGGCTTTAGAAAATGACAGACACCAGAGCTGCAATCCAAACCAAATGAAGGTATATCCCTCGGGGGTGGGCCCAGGAATCAGTAGTTTTTCAAAGCAACCCAAGGAGATTCTAAGGTGCAGCCAAGATGGAGAACCACTGAACTGGAGAAAAGGAGGCTCATGCAGGGCAGTTGTTGAGGGGCTGTTTGTAAGTCAAGAAGATCCGAATCAAAATCCCTCTAGGATGTTCCCTTTGGAAGTCAGGTGAGGTCCTTTGATCCCTCCATTAAAGCCATGAAGTCCTGACTTTTCGAGCTATTATCAAGTCTTCACAGCTTCATAGAGATAAAAAGTAGAACGGTTGCCAGAAGCTGGGGGACTGGGTGGGGGAGTAGAGAATGCAGAGTTAACTGTAACAGGCGGGGAGTTTCAGCTGGAGAGGACGAGAAAGTTCTGGAGATGGAGGATAGTGACGGTTGCACAACAAGGTGAATGCACTTAATGCTACTGAACTGTACACTTAAAAGTGGTTAAAATGGTCAATTTTATGTTACATATATTTTACCACAATAAAAAAATTGTTTAACATTTCAAGTACAGTGACTATAAGAAAAATATAATGAATGTGCACTGACCCACCCAACTGCGCTGTTAGCACTGTGTTGAATTTTCTTCAGTCTTTTTAAGAGTTAATTAATTAATTAATTAATTAATTTAAGAGAGAGTTAGCAGGAGGGATAGGGAGAGAGAATCTGAAGCAGACCCCATGTTGAGCCCGACGTGGGATTCCCACGACCACACGATCATGGCCTGAGCTAAAACCAAGAGTCGGATGCTTGACTGACTGAGCCACCCAGGCTCCCCATCTTCAGTCTTTTTAAATAAAAGAAATAAAACTTTGCAAATTTAAAAAACAAAAGAAGCATTCAGAGGGATCTATCCCGGGAATGGAAGGGTAATTCAACATAAGAAAAACAATCGATGTCCTGTACCAAACACATGATTATCTCAATTGGTGCAGAAAAAAGGTTCTGACAAAATCCAACACCCTTTCATGATGAAAACACTTAGAAAACTGGGAATAGAAGGGAATTCCCTCAACATGATACAGGACATTTATGGAAAACCCACGGCAGGCATTACACTCAATGGTGAGAGACAGACTGAGAGCTTTTTCCTCTAAGATCAGCAACAAGACAAGGATGTCCACTCTCCCCACTCCTACTCATCATTGTATTGGAAGTTCTAGCCAGAGCATTAGGGAAGACAAAAAATAAATAAATAAATAAATAAATAATAAATAGATAAATAAAAGGTATCCAAATTGGAAATGAAGAAGTAGAACTCTATTTATAGTTGATGTGATTCTACATATAGAAAACCCCAAAGAATCCATACACACCAGAGGCTACTAAAGCGAATATACATATTTGGCAAAGTTTCAAGAGCACAAGATCAACACATAAAAATCAGCCGTGGTTCCATATACCACCACCCATGAACAATCTGAAAAAGAAATTAAGAAAACAATCCCATTCACAAAAGCTTCCAGAGCATCTAAGGATTGGACATTAAAAGAGTCTCACAGTCCTTTGAAGTGGAAACATTTTGTTATTAACGGTGTTGGTGGAGGCACAGGCTTCAGCACCTTTAATTTTTCACACATATTAGTGCATCTCATATTAAAATTAAGTAGAGCAGATGGATTTAATGGGGACGGTGGTGTGGACTGCACAGGCCATGTAGGGCAAGTGAAGCCACATCCCCAGGCACTTCCGAGAGGCCTGGGTCTTGGCCATCCTGCCTCCCTTCACGTCTCTCAAGAGTCACAGGAAGCTGGGAAGCAAAGTTCCAGGCCCCTCGGAGGAAATCAGGCCTGAGTCAGCCTTCCTGGGAGGTTGAAGGAACAGATCAGGCCCAGCAAACTGTTTACTGAGGAGGGTGTTTTTTACTTGAAAAGTTGGTTGGGGTTTTTTGGGGTTTTTTTTAAGTTGAAGAAGGAACTAAAAGTGCTTTTAGTTATTGTTTTGTGACTAGGGGCCAGAAAGATGAAGGGTTTGCCAAGTATTGCCACATTCTTAGTTCTCCATGTTCCAGAGACTCTATGAGCTGGTGGTTGGTTCCATCACCGAGACAGCTCTCCTTACCCCTTGTTTCTGTTCCTCACTCACTGACAGCTAAGGAGCACCTGCCAAGATCTATAGATGAAAACACTGGGCAGAGAAAAAATCTGAGTGCAAGGAGGTGATCTGCTGAACGGGATTAAGCCCTGGACAGATGGCCAGAAGACCCGGGTTCTAGGCTGGCCTCTGCAGCGCCCCAGCTGTGTGGCTTTGAGTCCATCCCCCTCTTGATTCTTGTCCCTAAAGGGAAGAGGGGCAGGGCAGCGGTTGGGAGGGGAAGAGATCCTTTTGATTTTGACATTCTAGTTTTTCTAAAGGCCAAACCCATTAAGAATTCAAAAGAACTTTAAAAGAAAGGGGAAGTGACATTGATTGAAAAGAAAGATGGAAAAACAAATTTTAAAGAATGGACAAGAGGTTTTTCTACTCCAGGCCACTCTTTTTTTTTTTTTTTTTAAGATTTTATTTATTTATTTGACAGAGAGAGACACAGCGAGAGACCACAAGCAGGGGGAGTGGAAGAGGGAGAAGCAGACTCCCCACCAAGCAGGGAGCCCAATGCGGGGCTCGATCCCAGGACCCTGGGATCATGACCTGAGCCGAAGGCAGACGCTTTAAGGACTGAGCCACTCAGGCGCCCCCAGGCCACTCTTTTCTACTTGACCAAGGCTGAGCGGATGCCAGAGGCTCAGGTGGACTCAGGCGGGGAGCAGAGCTGTCAAGGGAAGAAAAAAGAGCATTCCTGTTTTCAGTTTCCCCAGGCCAGGGCTCCCCAAGTAGATCTCACAAAAGGCCCAAATGCTTAGACCTTGCCCACGTGTGGGCAAATCAACCCCGTTAAGGACCATGGTTTTAGAGGGAAAAAGTGGGTGGAGGCAATTAAACAACTCCCAAAAAATGAATAAAAGGGCCTGATTTGGATGGGAGGCCTTGATTTGGATGGGTATTCCTTAGATTTCTTTCTAATTGTACTATTCGGCAAACATTTAGAAAGTGCCTACTATGTGCTGGGTGTTGTGGGTGGTCAGCTGTGCTATCTGGCTAGCCAGCATTCATAGGGAGATAAGGCATGCGCACAAATCCCAAAAGTCTAAAACACAAAGCAGAATGTGAAACCTGCCCCAAGGGAGTTCAGATAAATCTCTGGAGTTCAGAGTGGGGGCTGCTCCCCCTTAACCTGGGAAGTTCCAGAAACAGGTCCTAGGGGCTGAAGCACAGATCTGGAAAGCCTTGTCTGTTCTTCCAGGAGTAGCAATTTGCCCCAGCTCCATTTTAAAGAAGTGAAAACCAAAACAGAGAGGCAAATTATTTGCTCTCTGATCATCCAGGGAGTTAGCAACACAGGCTGATTACGAACTACAAACTGATAACTTCCCCCCAGAAATTAAGGGTGAAAGATGAGACAAAGCTCATTTTAGGGGAGGAAATCCAGAGCCACAATGTCCTTTCCCAGTTTAATCCCAAAGACACACCAACCACAATTCAAGGCAGCATAAAAAAATTCATAAGCACGCTGAAGTCGCATGTGTTTTGGGTCTGAAGGGAGCCAAGGTCTCAGAAGCGGCGGCTCCGCCTACTTGGGGAGGGGTTCTTTGTGCGAAGTCCATCTGCCCCATTATAAGTGAGCTGCAGAGGACACCACGCATCCGGGACGAGACAGAGGAAAGATGAAAACCCAGGCAAGCCCTCTGCTTTAGCAGAGCGAACGTGGCCGCAGGCTTTTCAGCATTGAATTTGAACAAGCCAATGGCATCCCAATCATTGAAACAGGAAGCCAGATAAACAGCATGTTATCAAGGGGGGATCCGGGCGCTTCCCTTAAGCCGGCGCCAGCTGCGCCCTGTGGCTGTCCTAACAAAGTCCCATTGACTCACCAGCTGATTTTCCAGTGTTGGGCACCGGGGGACAAGGAACCCTCTCTGCTGGGTGGATTTCACCCATGCACGCCGCCCCCACCACTCACCACTCACGTCCTTCCCCAATCCTGCCTCCCCAACGCAGACTGAGCTGATTCTTTATCCCATGACCAGGTTCTATCGGCTCTGAAAATAGAAGGGACCACAAGAGCCCAAGCACCGAGCGCCCTCAGGTGAGCTCCTGGTGTTCACCCAACTCCTTCTCCTCCCTCCCGCGTCCCCCGGGAACGCTTTCTCTGAGCGGGCGCCAAAGAGGACTGCCTCAGGGAGTCGCGGGCGGACGCTTCGCAGCGCAACCTGGGCACCCAGTGAACATTTTCTGGAACAGCCCGGCAAGGTCACCTGCTCCCGCTGCTCCGCTCGCTCCGCTGGGATGGGAGAAAATGTGGGTACAGTGTGTGTGTGTGTGTGTGTGTGTGTGTGTAATACGCAGTACTTGGTGTCTCTGGTTATAGGATCTCAACACACTTTACGTTGCAGGTATTTCACAGAAAGGGAAACTGAGGCTCCGAAAGGCTGGAGCTGGGTAGCCCCTAGTGAGTCAACTCCTGGAGCAGACGCGCAGTCCCCTAAGGACGTCTCGGCACACACCCTCCCGGCGCCTCCGTTGTTATTCCAGCGCCTCTCCCGAGCCCAGCCCGCAGCCTCCCCGGGGCACCGGGCTCACCTCCCCCCGGGGCTCGATCCCGGCCCCACACAGGGGCGGGCGGAGCAGGCGGGTCCGCCCCTCCTCCGGCCCGCGTGCTCCCCTCAACTCCCCCCACTTCCCCACAAGGACTGGCTCCCGCTCCCCCCTCCCCCCCGCCGCGCGCAGCGCCGGCAGTCCGCACAGCCCCCGCGGTTCCCGGACGCGCCACCCCCGGGGTCCCGGCCTGGGGATCGCTGCCACCCCGGCCGCTGCTCCTTTAATCTTTTTGTTTTGGTTTGAATCTGCTCGGCGCAGACTGGCCAAGGATCCTCTCCGCCCTCCCCCTTTCTCCCGGCGTCCGGGAGGCACCGGATATCCCCACCCTCCCCTCGCTCTAAAAGCCGGATTTGACTCTTCTAAAAGGGTGAGGGGGGCGGCGAGGGGAGCCGCGCGTCCCGCGATCGCCGCGGCCCCGAGCCGGCGGCAGCCCC